CAGAACACAAGATCAAGATCAAAGGTCAGAGAGGGCATAAAACCAGGGACTCAGCATCTCAGTCCTTCCCTTCTCTTTTCTCCACCAACATTGAAGCATGTGATCACCTTTTCTATTCAGAACTCAAGCCATGTGGTCCTGTCCACCAACAAACCATCTTTCCAAGCAGCCTCCATGTCTCCAGTGTCTTTGTCCCCACTTGGAGCAGAACCCAGAAGGACATTACTTTCAACAATATATTTGAGTATATTGCATGATCATGTTTTGTTACTTATAAAAATATGTAAATCATAATATATTTTTTCTTAAATTCCAGGGTTGGCTTGTGACAGACCATCAGTTTCAGAAGCTGTCCATGTGACCCCATTTAAAATTCAGTATGATGTTGGGGACCAGATCCACCTGACCTGTCCTAGAGGGTACAGTTTTACAGGCCTAGAGACTTATGTATGTGGGGACCGAATGTCCTGGATACCTGCTATTCTGAACTCACTTGAATGCAAGAAAAGTATGTTTCATTTTTGCTGTAAATTGTTCATTAGTGTTATTTTTCTTTTTCTTTGTTTGCTATTCTCTGTTGAAGATTTAGTGATGAGAATATTTGTACATCAAAAAAGATAGAATATACTTTGGGAATTACTAATAAACCTAGAATGTGGTGTAAATCTGAAATGATATCTTACTTAGTCCATCGAAACAGTGATAAGTGTGGAAAATTATGCAAAAGGAGTGTGAATTCAGTTTTGCTATTGGAAGCCTTACTTAAAGCATGTGCTCAGAAGTGCTTTGTCTTTTAATGCTGCTAGATATATTCCCAATTCTTTATTTTCCAGCTGATTCCAGAGACTGGATCTTATCTTTTAATTTAAAAAAATTAAGTTGACCCTGGAAATCTAAAATATGTCTACTGCTGGTCCAAATTAAGAAAACCAAAACTGGGAAACAGTAACCTGAATGCAGACTGCCATCCAATAGCCTATTCTACTCTCTATAGGGAATTAAGGATTTCTATTAGTAACACAGTGGCTCAATGGCTAAGATACTGAGCTTGTCGATCAGAACGTAGACAGTTCAGCGGTTCGAATCCCTATTGCCACGTAACGGAGTGAGCTCCCATTACTTGTCCTGGCTTCTGCAAACCTAGCAGTTCAAAAATACATAAAAAATGCAAGTAGAAAAATTCCACTTTGGTGAGAAGGTAACAGCGTTCCATGAGCCTTCAGCGTTTAGTCATGCCAGCCACTTGACCATGGAGATGTCTTCAGACAGTTCCGGCTCTTTGGTTTAGAAACAGAGATGAACACCGCCCCCTAGAACCAGAGATGAGTAGCACGTATGTGCGGGGGAATCATTACCTTATGGGGGATTTGAACTTTTTTAGATAAATTTGAGCAGGTGGCTACAGAAGGATTCTTGGTGAGATGAACATTAACCATAAGCAATGTTTAGTTGGTATTTTATTTTTTCTCAAAATGAACAAAGACTTCAATAATTATTCTAAATCTTCAAAAGATTTGACATAACCAATTTCGTTGTGTTTATTTTGTACAATGACAATAAAGGCTATACTACTACAGCTCACTCTTTCTAGAGAAGCTTGTTTTCTGACCCTTTTTGGAATGACCATGTGATTGCCATGAATGACATTCAGTCTAAAAATAGTGGAAGGGGAGATATCTCTCTGCAAAAGAGAACCCAGTCTTATTGTAAGCATAGCAAGATTTTAGAAGGTTAAACAAAATTTGAGGAGATTCCTTGGCTGCCTCATAGTAAGTCCTATGCCAGAGGTCTTCAAACTTGGCAACTTTAAGACTTGTGGACTTCAACTTCCAGAATTCTCCAGCCAGCTATGGAGAGTAGACTGAAGCAGATTTTTGAGGCATGTACAATGCTAGCCTTCCATGTCCAATTAATGTATGTCTTGGGTTGAGTATGATGCTCTGTTCAAAGCATCATAAACAGTCCTTTCTTGACTAAGCATGATCACAGTTGAAATATCTAAATTATACTGCTTTTTCAGATTATACTAGGATGCTAAAACTCACAACCTGCTTGTCAGCTTATTTGAAATCTGACTCTTTCCCCCTTTCTCTTTATTCCTTCTTTAGTTGATCCACTTCAGGTCAAAGATAATTGCAGTCTTGGGAAAAAAGAGGTGGATTCCCATTGTGTCTGCATATCCCCGGAAGAAGACTGCAAGTAAGTATAGGTGTGAAATATTGTACATCAACTAGATTTCAGATTTTATAATCTGCCTATAGTTTGGCAGCCTTCTTAATTTTGCTGGCAGCTGGTTTTCCTTCAGCAGGGAAAGCATCCCTGTTTTGTAGGTATAGGTGGAGAGCAAAATTAGAAAAATTATTACATCTCTGGGGGACTATAAATATAGTCTCCAATGGATTCCAAAGAAAAACAATTACCAACCTAATCCAAAGGGAGACTCGCCCAAAAACCGAGACACAGAACAGGACAACGGCATCACCCCCCTCTCTTACATCAAAGGCACCACAGATAAAATCAGCAAAATTCTCCACAAACACAATATCAAGACAGCTTTCAACACTGACCAAAAAATAGCCAACATCTTAAGAAACCCCAAAGACAAAATCCAGCTAGAAAACCAAGGAGTCTACGAAATACCATGCAAAATCTCCCCTGCAACATACATAGGACAAACAAACAGGAGAATAAATGCACGCATCACAGAACACAAGAGCGCAGTAAGAAAAAAAGAAAAAACTTCCTCCCTTTTCCAGCACCTTAAAGCTACAGGACATGAAATTAATTTTGAAGGAACCAGGTTAATCTCCAAAACTGAACACTTCAACAAGAGAATAATTATGAAAGCTATTGAAATAGAGAAACACCCCCACAACATGAATAAACGTGATGATACCTCCTGCCTGCCAGACATCTGGAAACCAGCCCTAGTCAACGAACGAGCTCCACCCACCACCCAGGCCATTACAACATGAAGCAACAACGGACACATAGCCAGCACTAATCAGCACCAATCTACCAATCATGATACAACCAAACAACCAATCATTCCACTTACTGAAACAAAGCCAGCACTCCACACACACCCCACCAAGATTTACAGAAAGACGGCAGCTCCAACCACGCTTTAAGCCCAAAACCCAGCCTGAAGATGGCGAGTGAGACCTTGCTGAAACATTGCTAAGACAATCTCAATCTTAGGAGCCAAGGTGGCGCAGTGGTTAAATGCAGCACTGCAGGCTACTGCTAGATCAGCAGGTCAGCGGTTCAAATCTCACCGGCTCAGGGTTGACTCAGCCTTCCATCCTTCCGAGGTGGGTAAAATGAGGACCCAGATTGTGGGGGCGATATGCTGACTCTGTAAACCACTTAGAGAGGGCTGAAAGCTTTATGAAGCGGTATATAAGTCTACTGCTAAGTCTACTGCTATTACATGGGAAAAGACCTGAATACAACAAGACCAGCATACCTACACCCGCAAAAATCTACGAAAACATATCTGAACTAAATAATTCGGCTCAGTGATTTCTGAAAGGTTTGCAAAGGTAAAGTGAAACTCAATACCTCCTGAATACCAATAATAAAATGGAGGAGTTACGTCAGGATGCCATCTGATTCTAAGGGTCATTATGTCCCAGTGTACATATCTGGGTTGTTGAAAAGAGGTAAGCTACATATTGAAGCATTTGCAAGGTGTTCAGGTTCAAGGCTGAAAGCTATTTTGCAAATTTTTCAACTCACCCACACTCTGCAAATCTCTGAGCTACTAAATGTTTTGCAGAATTTCAGAACAAAGTCTCGAAAGGAAAAACTTAAAATAGACATATTTTAACCTAGAAAGTATTACACAGTACAGATAAACATGACAAAAACTCCAGATGGGGGCATTTCCAAAGCAGAGATTACCAGTACTCTTTTTGAGAAAACTCAAAATATTGTTCTGGAGTCAATGGTGGGTTCTGGCAGGCACTAATGCCGGTTCACTTGATGTGCACTGCATGTGCATGCACAATGCAATAAAAATTGTTCTGCGCATGCGCAAAAGCAAAAAACAAGATGGTGGCACCTATGGTTCAGGGGCATGGCAGGCCTGGGTTGCTGCCAGTTCCTGCCACCCAGGCCACCAAACCACTACTGGTTTGGCTGAAGTGGTCTGAACCGGTAGAAACTCACCACTATCTGAAGTTTGGTTTTCTCTTGGTAGTAATTGTGGTCCCTGGCCTTTGTACAAATGGTTTTTAAAATTAATCATATGTTAAGTCCTTGTTAATATCTGGCTGGTATTCAGGGGAGAAGAAATTATAAGAACTCCTTAAGCACATTCTAAAGAAATGAAATCAGCTGGTTCACAAGAACATTATTACCATAATAAAACAAGCAAACTAAAACATTAATTTGATTATAATGCTCTCAGGTTCAAAAACATATTGTAGTTCAGACAATTTGTTTTTTGCCTCCTTAAAACTCAGTGGTTGCTGGTGAATAGAGACGAATGGTCCTATAAAAGTTAACTATTGTTCCAATGTTCCAAGGGCTACCTACTCTGATATAGATTTTATAGCTTTGCCTATTGGGACAATAGAGTAGGTAAAATGCTAATTTCTTTTTAATGAACCAGTTAATGGTGTCAAAATCAACATCAGAGACATTGTAGAGGAGAGACAAATTGAAGCTTGGTAATTGTATAGGCTTAGTTGCATAATATGCTAAAATCTTGAATATTGGAGATCATTGATACATTGGCCAATAAAATATTTGAATATTGACTGTTCAGGCAATGAATTATATTGTAGAAATATGGAAGTCGGGAAAACTAATGGCATATTATTGTCTCCAAATATATCATTTATATTTCCTGGCTTTCCAGCACCGGCTCAGAAGGTATTTGTGTATTGGATGTACAATCTGAACAAGCTGTTACAAATCCTAGCTGTCGTTTTCTGGCCGAGAAGTGCAGGAATGATGAACAAGTCCATTTTATCCATAATGGACCTTGCAATGATGACACCAGGTTGACATGGGCTATTCAGAGAGCAAATCTTTCAGCAAATTCAAGAAAGAAAGAGCCTTGTGGATACGATGTATGCTATGATTGGGAAAGATGTTCAGGTAGGTTTCTTGAACACTTCAATCTTTGATTTGTAAGGTTGCTTTTCATTTTTTAATTAATAAAAAGTAAATGCATGAAAATTTGTACATAATTTTGGTTATGGAGATATATAAATAATGCATGTTACTATTTTTTCATTAAGTTTCAGTTAATCAAATACTCATTGTTCACATAAGTCAACTTCTATGATACAATGGGATGTCCCTTGCTTCTTCTTCCTCCCTATATGCTTTGCTCCTCCTCTTCTCTCCAAGTCTACTCTGTGAAGAGACATCCTATAGCCATGATGGTGAACCTATGGCACGCGTGCCACAGGTGACACACATAAATTTATTTGCCAGCACACCAGCCCTCAGCTCTGGCACGCATGCGCGTGCCAGACAGTTGGTTTTCAGCATTCCAGAGGGCCGGGGAAGGCCATTTTTGCCCTCCCCAGACTTCAGAAAGCCTCTGGAGCCTGGAGAGGGCAAAAGAGAGGCTACATGGGCCAACCAAAGTTAGTTCCCGAACTTCCGGTTGGCCCTTTGGGCCATTTTTCACCCTCCCCAGGCTTCAGGAAAGCCTCCGGAGCCTGGGGAGGGCAAAAACTCCCCCCCACACACACACAGGGAGTATGTGCATGCGTGGGGGGTTATTATTCATGCATAGGTGGGTGGGGCACATTCCATTGTGGGTCTGGGCATAGACACGCGCATGATAGTATGCACGTGCACAGTTTTGGCACACCTTTACAAAAGGGTTAGCCATCACTCTCCTATAGTCTGACTTCCCACATGGTGGATCAGATAAAGGACCACTTAAAAGCTTCACAAAAAGGGAGAATTTTACAAGTACCAACCTTCCTATGGAGAAAAAGTCTAGAACAAATATAGAACAAATGTACAGTATGTGCTCCCAGCCATCTTTACAATGCATAATTTGTCCTCGTACGGTAGCCTCTGGCAAGTGTTCCAGAAGCTGCATTCTACAGCTTTTGAAATGTTTTTGATGTATGGCAGGGTTCCTTTCTCCTAGTGAATTGACAAAATATTACAACAATGCTCTGAATAAGGTATCACTTTTAGGTTGTCTTTGTTGGAAACTTGTATTAATGCATCATAGTAGGGTCATATATTTTTTTCATTTCATGCAGTCCTGAAGCTGATGAGATAATGGATGAGAGAAAGCTTGATCTTTCTGTGTAGTGATGCAATTGACATACCTGTTTTTTAAAAATACGCTCCTTAGTATTGCTGAAACATAATACAGGTCTGGAATAAGGAGTCCTTTGATGACTTATTTAGGATTTTGGTGGTCACAAATGTCAGCCAACGGAAGACATTTGCTGAAGACCATTGACTGCAGTCCTCTGCATATTTATGGGAGAATCGACACACATTAACTCCAAAAAGCTTTAGTGACAAGAAGGAAAAATGGGTGGAATTATGTTGCTGTCCTCCGAGACATCTTAAAGCATATTATTTAACAATCCCCTTAGATACATCCTTTAGTTATTTAGCTTTGTTTAGAAAAGATTGAAAAAATGTGTGGTTGTGAAATATTCCGGAAAATGATGCCCAGGTCACTGTACGTTATGCAACTTGTTTTTCACTGTGCAGTAGGATGATAGGAATTGTGAGCTTTCCTGTAAATTGTCTTGGCAGAGATTCCTACAGAAAAATATTTGGCTTGTCTTGTTAAAAAAAAAAGAGGCTTGTCTGGTTAAAACTAAAATTTCCACCTCCTTTGCTCTTGCTTTAAAACTCACTATTTAAAAACAGAATCTATTTTATATCTGCTCCTAAAGAACGTTTGGTAACGTTGTTTCAAATTATATTGAGACAGGGAAACAAAGAAATTGCAATTTTAAGCCTTAAAATATCTAGTAAGAAGGTTTAGATCAGGGGTGTCAAACTTACATCGTCCCGGCAGTGTCATGTGATGTATTGGGATTTTTTCCCCTTCGCTAAACCAGATGTTGGCGCGGCCACCATGAGACACATCTGGCTCACGGGCCAGGAGTTTGACAGCCCTGGTGTAGATGAAGTTGCTGTTGATGAAATAAAATGAAAACTCTCCAGTTCTATCACATCTTCATCACTCTGAACAGAAACACATACACACTGAAAAGTCCATTCTTATCTAAATTGTATGATATAGCCCAGTGTTGGCGAACCTTTTCAGCATTGAGTGCCAAAACGGGAGCACATGCACATGCGCACATGGAAGAAACCAGAAATGCAACTGCCCAGTGCGCATGCACATGCTAGGAAGATGATCTTCCCATTTCCTGCATGCACATGCGCACCAGCCACCTGGTCTTCCGGGTTTCTGGCATGCATGCGTGCATGAAGACTAACTGGCCAGCGAGCATTCACGTGCCAGAAACTGGAAGATCATCATCCCGGTGTGCTCATCCACACCGAGCATCTACTCTTCCAATTTCCAGTGCTCCCACATACGTGAAGACCAATGGCCAGAAGAGCAATGAGTGATGGCTCTACGTGCCACTTCCAGCACACATGCCATAGATTTGCCATCACGGATATAGCCTTGCCTACTAATCATCCATCTGGTGAGGATCCCTTTTGCCACTCCTGAAGAACTGAATATGCATATTCAGTTATTGCTGAGTTGATTTATAATCAGGCAGAAAAACGCAAATTCCTAGCAACTTCAATTGCAAGGGTAGTTTTTATAAAACTTGGGAAGCTGTCATTGTGGATCAAGAATCAATTCTTGTTAAGAAGATTTATTTCAGCCTCGTGATGGTTACTGCAAAATAGATCTTGTAAGCATTTAGATATAATGTATACCAAATGAAGTTTCACACACACACACACACACACACACACACACACACACACACACACACACACACTCTACAGGTAATCCTCAATGTATGACCATAATCGAACCCAACATTTTTGTTGCCCAAATGAGACAGATGTTAAGTGAATTTTGCCCCATTTTATTACATTTCTTGCCACAGTTGTTAAGTGAATCACAGTAGTCATTAAGTGAGTAACACAGTTGTTAAGTGAATCTGGCTTCTCCGTTGACTTTGCTTGTCGGAAAGTTGCAAAAGGTGAATGGATGATTCTGGATACTGCAACCATCATAAATATGAATCAGTCACCAAGCATCTGAATTTTGATTACATGATCAAGTGAATAATGCTGTAACAGTTGTAAGTGTGACAAATGGTCCTAAGTCACTTTTTTCAGTGCCATTGTAACTTTGATCAATCACTAGAGCTGTTGTAAGTTGAGGACAGCCTGTAAAATCAAATGATGAGATGATCCCACATTTTTATCTATTTACAGAAGAAAGGTTGCAGTGTACCTGTCTGCTTCCAAATCAGTGTCCAAAGGGTGAAGAACAGGTCTATTGCATTCAATACGGACCTAGAAAACAAAGGAGGACATCAACTCTCTGTGTACTTGGAGCCATGAGATGTGCCAGTGCGAGGGTAACGCTCTTGCATCCTGGGAAATGTGTGCCATAAAATGAGGTGGCAAACAAATATCCAATGTCCTCAGCCCTATTTCAATCACAGTTCAAAATAAATTCATTGAATTAAAATGTTGGTTTAAGAACTGAATTTTGTTTATATCTCCTACTAATTGTTTCAGTTGAATCTATATAAAATTGATGAATCTCAGCACCTTGGGAGTTTTGAGAACAAGTGGTTAGCATATTCATCATATAGCTACCATAAGAGTAGTGGTGGGATTCAGCCAGTTCGTGCCTATTCGGGAGAACTGATTGTTAACTTTTAGTTCGGAGAACCGGTTGTTGGAAGAAATCTCATTTTGTTTTTTTCCACTTTACAGGGCTAATGTCAGCGTTCCAAGTATCGTGTAGAATTAAATCAGAGTCCAAGGCAAAACGATCCTTAAAGTTCCAATTTAATAAATCAGACATCTTAGCACATCTGTGAAATCCCAATTCTAAAGAGCTTCCTGGGATTCCACCCAGTTAAAAGTTCATGATCTTGTCCCCACACCCACAAATCCATCACATGGTCCAATCTTCTTCTTCTTCCATGCTGTCATCTCCACCCAGCTGCTTCCGGTCAGGTGTAAAAGTGCGGAGACAAAAGATGACCTTGGTCTTCTAGAAAAGAATGACAACAACACATTCCACAATCCTACTCCTTTCTATTCCCCCTCCCATCAACTATACTAATGAAACAGCATAATGAAATAAGAGAAAGTGTGGCAGGCCAAAAATTCTAAAAGGGATATAATTGCAGGCCTGAGAGCGAATCCTGTAAGGAAGGCAGGAAGGAAACATTCTGGTGTTGTTTCTAGCCTAAACTTTATTGCCTTGACAGAAGCTGCCTCTCCAGTTAACCCTTATTACATTGTAATACCTAAGGTGAAGCGCCCATCAACATGAGTGACATTGAGTTGGCAACGCCCACTCAGTCACATGACCACCGTGCCCCCCTCCCCCAGCTGGTCATTAGGGCAGAGAACCGATTGTTAAATTATTTGAATCCCACCACTGTCTAAGAGGTAACTTAGGCACTGATATTGTATAATGATAGGCATGGACATCACAAAACATCCTGAAGTCAAACTAGTCTCCTTAAACAAATTTGTATCCTAGAGATTTGCTATTTCCATATAAGCTGTACATGAAATGTTGAATAGTTCATTCCAAAAGCAGGTAAGAATAAGAGCCATATCCTCTTCCTAATGCTGCAATTATAGGAGCCCTATAACTTGAAATGGCTTTTTTCAGATATGTTAGAAATGGGTAATACTGGCATCGTGGGAGCAAAACAGAGATAAAAGTATTTGAGAAATCAGCTGACTTTCAGGAAGAAGATATCTGTAATGTGCCTGAACTTGTGAAATCGTGAGATTAATAAAATAGTAACTGTTATCATTTTTTTCTTTTAATAATAGTAATGGATCGTGCTATTCCTTGTATGCTGAATTCAGGTTCCTCAATGATATTGATAATTTGAATTTGTCTAGTAAATAAAAATCCACAGTCTTTGTGTTATCATAGGCTATGAGGGCTGGAGATAGTTAGCAGCATCCAGAATTAGCAACAGATTGAGTAAATCCATAATAGAGGTCTCCAAATCTGGCAACTTTAAGATTTATGAACTTCAACTCCCAGAATTCCTCAGCTAGCCATTATGGGCTGGCTGGGGAATTCTGGGAGTTGAAGTCCACAAGTCTTAAAGTTGCCAAATTTGAGATCTCTGGTCTATAGGAAGATATGGAGTAGATAATATAGAGGCCAAGGGAAAATTTAGAAGCACTACTCTATGAGACTCTGTGGTGATAAGTTTATTTAGTTATTTTATTTTATTTATTTTGTTTGTCAAACATGTACAAGATAACAGGTATAAGTATGAACATAAACATGAACAAAGGAAATAGATGCAGATAAATGTGGAGAGTAAGACAGGGACGGTAGGCATGCTAGTGCACTTAGGCATGCCCCCTTTATGGACCTTTTAGGAATGGGTTAGTCCATGGTAGACAGTTTAAGGCTGAAACTCTGTGTGTTTGAGGATGTAACAATGGAGTCTGGTAGAGCATTCTAGGCGTTGACCACTCTGCTGCTGAAGTCATATTTTCTGCAATTGAGTTTGGAGCAATTTACCTTGAGTTTGCATCAATTGTTTGCCTGTGTGAGTGAAGCTGAAGTAGTCATTTGCAGGTAGGATGTTGTAGCAGCAGACAATTTTATGTACTATGCTTAAGTCCGACTGCAGGCAGCACAGTTCCAGGTTGTCCAAAATTTTGATCCTGGTGGCATAAGGGATTTTATTGAGAGCACAGGAGTGGAATACTCTTCTCATAAAATACCTCTGGACCAGCTCAATCGTATTAATGTCTGATATGCAGTGTAGGTTCCAGGCGGATAAGCTGTATTCGAGAATTGGTCTGGCAAAGGTTTTGTTGTGAGTAGGCACACAATATACAGCATCATATGTATTATTCTTATCAGGTACACACAAAACATTTCTCTTAACTGCCAGAGAAAAAGGGAGAAATAAAAGGCCATCATTTTGACCAACTGAGTGCACTTTCAAAATGCCCAATAAGCCCGTCCCACTCGCACCAGCAGAAAAGGCCTGCTATGGATCCCATGTGCTAAGGAATTGAAGCAGGTGGGGTCAAGGAGAAGAGCCTTTCCCCCTGTAAGAATTGCCCCCTCATTTTTGGCCTTCTGGAAGGGTATTAAAACCTGGATTAGCTAGTTGGCCCGTGGCTCCAAGGGGCACACTCACTGCTGGAGGTGGCTGACAGGGTAAGAAGACCTCATCTCTGTCCCATCCATCTCTTAATTCTCTTACTTGTAATTTTAGTACAGTTCTTAATAAGATGTTAATCTGGGTCGTTTTAATTTTTTAACATTTGAATTTTTTTTATTTGTTTTAGAACTTGTAAGCCAGCCAGAGACTCCTTGTAGTGGGGAATGGGTGGATTAAAATGTAAATAAATAAATAATAAAAATAGAATACCCTGATGTTATATATGTTGACGGTAGCAAGAGTACTTTATGCACAAAAATGGAAGGACACTTCAATCACCATAATGGACAAAAGGCAGCAAAAGTTGATGGCGTTTAGCAGAGATAGCTAAATTGACTGCTTTGATAAAAGAAAAAAAATACACAAGTGCTTTTGTTTCCACTTGGAAACCAGTTCTGGACTTTATGCTTGAGGTTGAAAAAATATGAAACTTTGATTTTGGGTTTTACCGATTAAATAGATTTATTGATATAACAATGGCTAGTTTATACTGCTATGTAAAAGTAAAACATTGAGGTTGGATGTTACTATCTTATTATAACGCATCAAAGGGAGCCAGAAGTCAATTCCTTTTCCCTTCTTTTCTTCATTCTTCCCTTCCACTTTTCCTCCTTTGTATTTTATATTATAAACAAGTATAGAAGTTTAGAATAACAGAGTTGGAAGGAACCTTGGAGGTCTCCTAGTCCAACCCCTGCATTTTCTAATCTCATTCTTTGAGAGAAGATGATCCTTCAAGAGCAGCCTAAGTTCTTCACATACAACCATAGTTTGGATTAGAATTTCCATTGCTAAGCATTCAGTTGTTAAGTGAGTCATGCATGATTTTATGACTTTTTTTGCCATGGTTTTAAACAAGTCACTGCTGTTGTTAAATTGATAGAATAGAATAACAGAGTTGGAAGGGACCTTAGAAGTCTTCTAGTCCAATTCCCTGCTCAGCCAGGAAACCCTATTCCATTTCAGATAAATGTTTATCCAATCAATTCTTAAAAACGTCCAGTGTTGGAGCATTTACAACTTCTGGAGGCAAGTTGTAACAAATAATAATAATAATAATAATAATAATAATAATAATAATAATAATAATAATGATGATGATGATGATGATGATGATGATGATGATGATGATGATGATGATGATGATGATGATG